ACACACACACAGACACACACAATTTATGCGGATGCCTGACTAGTGGATGCATCTAGTTTATCAGAAGCTGCATTTTATTTTTGTATGTTTGCACTCTAAGTAATGCAACCCGGTATCATGCCAAAGCATATTATATACCCGCTGGTCCACCGTGGTAGTGTCACATTTTAAACACATGCTCATTCCATTGTCACAAACAAACACCCAGACTGCTGTTCGAATCCATGGCCTTGTAAAACCAAAAGTAAACATCTAGTTACACTTTAAAAGTAAAGCTTGCTGAGTTTGCAGTTTGGTTCTGTTCAGGCAAACTATTTTGTTAGTTTTAGATTTTAAGTTACATTACGTACCTGACAACATTTACTTTTGGTTTCACACAGGACTTGAACAGCTGCCTCCTGTTTTTTTGACCTATCCATCCAATACAACCTCCTCTGTGCGCCTTTGTTGCTCTTCATACTGCACCTTCATACACACATGCACTTTTCACGTCTAGACGAGGCAAAATGTGACACTAACATGATATCCCTTAGTGCAGGTGTTCCCCAAATTTCTTCATGTTAAGGACCCCCACAATAGATGCGCATTAGACTACAGACCCCCAGTTTGAGAAAATTTTTTAGTATTTTTATTTTTATTTTTAGGTTTTAAGATTATAAAGTTTTCATAGTCAATCAATGATCAAACTGGAATGAGTATGAATTACGATCAATGAAAACAGCCAACCCTATTTCTTCCAGTGTTACAACTTAAAAAAAATGTGATAAAAGTTAAAATATTCTATTCTTCTTTTTGGGGGGACCCCTTACAACCCACTCAAGGAGCCCTGTTGGTGTCCAGGCCCAGGTTTATTCGGGCAGGCATGATTAATGACTTTGTACTAAAATATGCCACACACACCACCTTCCCATAAAAAAACTTATTGTCATTTTAGATTAATAATTAAACAGATAAAATAAAAGGTTTGACTCTAAAGGTCCACTATTCCTGAGTTGTAAAAAATAATCCAATAACTCTGTTCTCGTCTGGTGATAGGGCTAAAGTGAGGTTAACAGCATCCGCTGAGATGTGGTTGAAAGTGGCCTTTACATTAAGAGGCTTCCATGAACTTTCATGCTCAAAATACATGAATATTATTGCGTTTTAGAAGTGATAGTAGTAGTTAAAACAGATTACAGAGTTACAGAGTCAGGGTAGCTTCTTCCTTCCACCCTTTAGACTAAGCTACCAACTTGCTAGCAACTATGGCATGAACAACAGAGATGTAGACTTGGGTCATTGAATATAAAATGTATAAAAACTGTTCAATGTTATCAATGTTGACGTAACAAGTGTCTGTGTAACGATACCCAGTATGCAAGCACACACTGGGAATGACATTGTCATGAGTAGATGACTACCCTCAGTCAGTCAGCTCCTTGCAATGCTACCTGAAGGTCTATTTGATTTCACTCACTGAAAATCAATAATTATAATACAAATTAAAAAAAAATCT